AATTTTTATTTTTTTCATTAATACTTTGGCCTAAACAAAGGGTATGTCACAGAAAATATCCATGTATACCAACTCAACAGCTCAGTAATATCTATATTTAAAATCATTAATAACACACACAAATATCTGAGATAAAGGCAGAGAGCTTGTGTATTACCTTGGAGCATGTAATAGTTTTATTGTATGCAAGCTGCTTGAGCTGCAGTTAGTGTAACGTATATTAGCTTTCTTATTAGCTTTATTAGTGTTTGTTTTGAAAATCAGTCTTTATTACTCTTAGGAAATGTTTTTGTTGTCTTTTATGAACATGGAGCACTAGGCAGAGTGCTAAGAAGACAAACAAATATAAGCACGGTCATGCGCATTGTGTCCGTCAGGGGAAATAGAGAATGAGATGGTGAACTGCTGCCTGCATGCCATCCACTTTGTACTGGATAGACCACATTAATTATTTAACAGCAAGGCTGCTAGCTATTATTACAGAAAAACAGTGGACTGCATCTGGACCCTTTCCTGACGTTTCTATGTCAAATACACACCTTGCCCTTGTGGGCACACCAAACCGCTGTGGAGCATGCATCTTAAAACAAGGGCATGTACGAGGCATGGTGCAAAACTCGCTGTCTGCTTTGTTAACAGTTTAATCACATGAGGTGCAGTATGTCTGAATGAGACAGTAAAAGCGAAGCACTTTGTGGTGTGAGTGCCCCGCCGCTACAGAAATATGCATGCCTCTGTGCAGGTTGCTTACCTGTGTTTTTGCATGTCTAAGTATGAGTGAGCCAGACAGGTGTACAACAAACGCCTGTTTAAAAGAAGCAGGAAAGCTGATGGGGGGGGGGCAGCTGCACGGATTTGTTTGCCATGACTGTACAGGCTCTTTACCGTCAGTCCGTCCTGCCTAGATGGGCATTTCTGTTATTCACTCAGAGGTTATGGTTTTAGATTGAGGGCAAAGCTTTCCAGCCTCTGGACTGTTTTGAAGGAATCCATTGTCAATAGAGATGCAGTGGGGCTAGGATTGTTTGCAGAGTTAATAGTAGTTTGATGATGTCTTTCTCAGTGACCTGAAGAGAAATTGACCCCTGTTGTGTGAGTATTTCTAAAATGTCACCCGCACAATTATGGTTGGAGTGTCCCTGGGCTGTTGTATGTAGGGCTTGTTTTATCTGAGACTAAGTCGTCCTCACAAAAATACACACACACACACACACACACACACACACACACACACACACACACA